ATGCTCCTTCGGGGCTGAAATATGCTCGAGCATTGCTCCTTTTTAGTTATGCTTTTTCTTATGCTCAAAAGGGCCATTTATGCTAAAAGCTATGCCCGCATAATGGGCCTAAGCCTACGCGGGCGCCCGCATGCGTGCGTGTGCACCCACGGTTGGAATTCCCGTTGGGTACCCCCCGCACTACGGGCACTACGCGGATGACATCCCAGTTGCGGATCCCCGGCGGCTCCGGCGGCAGTTTCACACCACGGAGGGCGAACTTGGAGAGAGAGAGGGCGAGAGAGAGAGAAAGAGTGATAGAGGGGTTGAAAGAAGCACAGCGAGGAGGAACATAGAAGCGGGCGCACTCTCGAGGCTGTGCGATCGGGACCCTGTGAGGGCCGGGTGAAGAGGACGCTATATCTCAAATTTTTGAAATCGCGTGAAGGCCAAGCAAGGCGATATTGTTGATTATGGACAATAGCTACGACCTCCGATCGGCGCTCGCCGATGCGCTCCCCGCGGCGGGCCCCACCCGCGCTGCTGTGAAGGCCATGGACGACATCGGCTTCAAGGCCGACCCGAAGAATAACGACATGAAGGAGTTGTTCGTGGGCCTCGACATCGCACAGCAGGAAGACGGTGGAGCATCAGCTGGTGGTGGTGGGAGGAGCCAGCAGGCGAAGGCGGCGGCGGCGGCAGCGGGGCCATCGGCGGCGCAAGTGCTGCTAGACTACCGAAGAGAGAAGAAGGAGGCGTGAGTGTGCCGGTGGTCGTTTGTGGTGTGTGGGGGGGGATGCGGTCGTGGAATATCAACTTGTCTGTTACGAGGGCACGAACAACTGCTGTGAATTGATTGCCCAGCAGCTACCAACGGCAAACGTCGTTTTGGAAGCCGTCTCATGGTAACTTGTATACCGGTCGCCCCGGTGGTCTAGTGGGTTACCTCGCAGCCTGCGAAGGACCAGGTCATGGGTTTGAGTCCCGGCAGAGTGAGTTTTTTTTCTCACTAAATAAATCCTGATCTAGCATGAAAGGNGATTGCCCAGCAGCTACCAACGGCAAACGTCGTTTTGGAAGCCGTCTCATGGTAACTTGTATACCGGTCGCCCCGGTGGTCTAGTGGGTTACCTCGCAGCCTGCGAAGGACCAGGTCATGGGTTTGAGTCCCGGCAGAGTGAGTTTTTTTTCTCACTAAATAAATCCTGATCTAGCATGAAAGGGACGCGTTGCAAAGCTCGTTGTTAGTAAACCATAATCGACTTCGTAAGTCGCGAGGGAAGGGATTGCTGCCCTTCTCGCGATAAAAAGACCTCAGGCAGGAACCGCAGGAGGGGGTGCAGCCTCCTCCTATGTGACCCCGGTAGGGTCGTCTAGCTAATAGTAGAAGTGGAGGATATGTGACCCCGGCAGACGACAGAGTCCAATGACGGGAGAAAAAAAAAAAGTATGCCCAACATGGGCACGCTAGTTTCTAAGGCGTCGGCGTAGGCGGTGGCGAGGGGTGTCCTCCACGCTAAAGCCTCCTCTGGGAAGATGTATTGAACACAGCACAATGTCCCGAGATATCATTAGCGTTTCCCCAGCAGCTACCAACGGCGAGCGTCTTTTTGGAAGCATTCCCATGATCACATGTCAAACGCGGGTGCGCTAGTTTCTACCTCTACAAGACATAACCGCCGGCGTGTGCCTTCCGCGCTTGATATGAAACATGTCATGCGAGAAAAAAAAACGCGAAAGTGCTCGTGCTCGTCTACACAGATCCACTATTCGCATTTTCCCCTTCACTCCGCACTACCACCGCCATCCCCACCAACGCACAGCCAAGCGGCGGCGGAAGAGCAAGCGAAGAGCCTGCTGGCGGCGGGCAAGGATCCGGCATCGTTGAAACGCGCGAGTGCTGCTGCTGCTGCTGCTGCAGCCACCGCTGTTGGCGGAGGGGGGCTGGCGTGGGCGGCGGGATTAGCCAGCAAGGAGGTGGACGAGGCCGCGGAAGACGAACGGTACCTGCGAAAGGTACAAAGTCCGACAAAATATCTTCATTGGCCTTCTTGACGAACTCTGTCTGTACGTATCTGCTAAGCACTCGCGCTGTTATTTCGCATGCATTACACCGGTTTAGCTGAAGCACTACACAAATACCTGCCTAGCGTTGTTGCCGTGTGTCACGAATCGGGAAGTGCCGGCGCCACTCGAAAGTGCTGACGCAGCACCTGTAGGGTTCAAAGATTTGGCTAACTCATGTTCGAAGAAAGGCGGACCTTATGGTGGGCTCTTCCCTCGTGGCTGCGAATTGACGATTGGCAATACACACCTTTTCGCTCCCTTCACCGTAAATTGGGCATCCGCTCCGCGTGGCCAGAACGCAAAAGAAGGTGTACAGATAAGAGTCCGCACTGCAGAACCTCTAAATTGGTCGGGGCTGGGGTTCTTGGTCCCGCTGGTGGGCTTCAATAGGCCGCTATCTAGATTTTGGTGTAGGGCTCCTTTACCGTGCTCGCACGTGGTCCTCGATTTCCTTGATTTTGAGTTATGTCAGGCTCAATTTATCCTAGCTGCCAAGTTATGTGTGTGCGGGCGTTGTCTGTAGTTGGTGAAGGAGAGCATGCATGTTGGGCTAGTCGAAAAACGTAGGTTGAAGCAAGACACGCGCCGAGTGCCTGCGAAGTCCAACTTGTATTTCAACAGCAACATTTATTCGTACGTGCCGATGGGACGGGCGCCTTTTGTTCTTCATATAGGGTACTCCCACGATCGTTGTCAACGTTCGATCAAGGCTGCCGTGAGGCAGCATTAATGCTTGCTCATAGCTACTGTGGGTGGTGACGCCAAGTACTCTTTCTCACCACATGGCAACGTCACCAGCAGTGTGCTTTACGCGGAGAGCCATCGGTAGCGTCATGCCTTCCGAAACCGTTGATAGCATGAGATGCTCGCCACTGCCAACCGCTTGCGTATTACTGCTGTCCGTAATATCGCCAAAGTTCATGTGTAAAAAAGGCACATCGAAGTGTCCCGTCGTGTGTGGGATACAAACCCCCCTTCCGTACGTACACGAGGGCGCAATATCTTCTGGTGAAGCAAACAACAGCGCTCAACAGGACGCTCGCTCGATTCGATGTGCGTTCTCGCGGGTGTACGAAGTTTTTCCCACCACTCCCTCCGACACGATCCCCTTACTGTACACGGACCGCGCTGATTTCTGACGGCGCGTGCTGCTGCAGGCGAATCTTTCCAAGACGGCCGCAAAAATGAGCAGCAAGCAGAAGCGGCGGCGCAAGCAAGGCAAGGAGCAGGGGACAAGCTACGAAGAGAAGTATGCCGGGAAGGTGGTCAACAGGTCGAAGCGAAAGGGACGGATGCTCGCGATGAAGCAGATGTACTAGCCATGTGACCAAGATAGTTCTGCTCTGGGTTTGTTTGAGGGGGGATTTGTTTTTTGCGCCATAAACTACTTGAGAAGTGCGCGTACAAGTCGCTGTGTTTCCCAAGAGGATGCTTGCTCGATGTTTTTCTTCCAGTTTATTTCCGGTCCGCGTTTGTGCCACAGTGTAGCTGTTTCGTTGTTGTCGCAACTTTTCGAACCCTTTTTTTTTTTTCACAAGCCGCCGCTTCTCGCCAATCCTTTGGCTGGTGATATTCTATTATATGGTGGATTGATGTATATTCGGTGGGGAATTCCTCCTGCGTGACTTACCCCCGCTGGGCCATAAAACATATATGCCGAAGGGTGCATGTAGACTGGCTGCCAGGATAGATGGGACGAAAAACAGAGGAAGTTGTGCGTGTGATAGCCGGGGGGAGGTCAACCGCTTGATCTGAGTGACGGGGCGGGTGCTCTCCATGAACATCATGTCTTGACCGGGCATCGTTTTCTGCCCAGGTTTAGTCAAGTGCGTGCCATGCCGTGTTGACTTGCTGTCGTTCAGTTGCCGATTTGACTCTGTTTAAACAGTGTGCCAGCTAGGATATTCACATTCGCTGCGAATCGGTTGCGCTGGGATGGGGGATTCCACAGCTGTAGGTTCATTGTGTACTGTTGGGTTCGGATCAAATTCACAGACCGATCTGTTGGTGTTTTTTGTATCTATTGCGTTTGCTCTTGTATGTTTCCTGCAAGAAAGGCATTCATCAAGCAAAGCGCCTTCAACGCAATCGTTTCGTGACCCATGCCGCGCAGCACTTCGCCTTTCTCCATGGACACATCCGTCTCTCACGAACTCCGTCAGGTGTTTGTGTGGTGTACGGGTGTCCGTTGCTTGTCGATTATAGCTCGGTGCGCGAGTGTGCGGCGTGATACGTTGAACTGGCTCGATGTCTCGCAGCGTCGGTTGGCTACTCCGCATCGATGTTGGTCGGGAGATACAGCAGTAGGTAGTGCTGGGAAGCAAGCACCATCGCGGATTGATATCCTTTCGGGTGCCTGTGTGCGTGTTCCATATTTTTTTTTCACGAAATGGTGAATGTTTGGCGCGATTTTCAGCGCGGTATTCTTCTTGTTCGATGGACTCTCTCAATTTCGGAAACTGAAAATACACCTTGTCTCGAGGGGTGCCTTCCGCACAGAACTAGATCATCATTGTCTTCGAGGCTGGTATCACCTACCGTTAGTGCTGTCTTTGTTGGAAGACAAAAACGCTCTCACCCAGCCTTTCACACCTCCCTCGAGAGAGGTCGATCCTCACAACCCTCACAACAACAATAATAGGGTGACATGTGCCCTCAGTACCGCGGCACCTAATTTCTGTAGCGTGAGGTGTGGGGCCCGCTTGGTGATGCTCCACACTTTGTGCTTTAATGTGTCCGTTCTTATTCATCCACCCGTCTCCGCGATCAGACATACACCCGACCCTTCGTCTACCGCAACATCAGCTTCCCGTGTTGCTCCCGTAATCTCTACCAGCCGAGAACGAATGCGTTCGGTGCTATTGTGAGAGCTGGATAACAGCGCGGCCGACAGAAAATTCCACCAATTTGGCCATGCATGATGAATGTATTCTATCTGTATTAACTATGTAGTCGATGAAGTGAACTTTGCAAGCTGCTGCTGCGCCCCGTTTATCCTGTCGTACAAGCGCTATCTCAAACTGCACGCGTAGACAATAATATGGTGTGCGGTGGAGGGGACTTTTTCCACCTCTGATGGACCTAACTTTTGATGCCGGCTTCTGTTGATCACAGGTTGCGGGTAAATCCTAAATCCTGCCAAATTCGGGAAAAGGCGGGGGCGGGACAACAAAAGTGCGTGCGAACAGCCCAGGATCCAACGCAGGATCGCAGGATCCATGTTCAGATTTCAGATAGATGCTGGAGTACGTATGTATCATCGGAATTGGCCGTTGACAACAAGAGGGCACCCGCCCCAAGCTCATCAGCCACTTCAAGCAGGCGAAGCCAGCAAGGCTGGTCAAGGTGAGCTCAGGGAGATAGTGCCCGGGGAGAAATACCCGTAAGCCCACTTCGCCTGCGGCGGTGATAAGGGCGCCTTCCGGTATATGCCGGAGAATGGCGTCCAAGAACGAGTTTTCGGTTCTAGAAACGTTTCGGCGAGACCAACACAACAACTCAACGAAAGAAAACGAAAAAAAAAAAAATCCCCCTCACATTTTTCAAGATACACGATTCGGCACATCCTGTTTGACCGCAAACATCAAATGCAAGCCTCGTTCTCCATGGCAATCGACTCCGCTTGGTCGAATTACATACAAAGGACACCACTCTCGAGGTCATCAGACCTAATCTCGTTCTAGGACGGCCGTCCCGACTTGGGCCTGGCCGTGGCTCGTGGCAGCCACATGCAGGTAGACCGCACAATCGAAATCCGAGGGGAAGAGAGGGTAGTGAGACAGCAACGCAAGGAGCACATCCGCGGGATACTGCTAATCAGCCAGCTCTTGAGAAAGGGTACCACCGAGGCAGCTGGAAAACCCGTGCAATCTGTGGTTGCTGATGAAGTTGAGCTCTCGAAAAGGGTAGAGAGCATGTTGAAGGCATCCGAGAGAGAGCATCGAAACGCGGGAAACGACAGCCTGCTGCTGGTGCTGCCGCTTGATCTGCTGCGGGGAAGAAGGCGAAGCGCAAGGGGGCGGACGCAGCTCTCTCCGACCCTCTAGCATTGGCTCATGATGGCGGGACTAGAAGCGGTGCTACCCCAGATACTTTGCGGGAGGAAGCGGTGAGTTTTGAATCACTTCTGAGGTGCTGCTGAAAGGTGTTCTAGGCTTGATTGACTGCGCTTTACTTTGCGCGCCAGTTCGTGCCAGCTGCTCTATTCTTGAATTTATAATTTGGTACACGCGCTGCCCGTCCTCTTTACCCCCAAGAATTGAGGTCCATTCCACCACGTCGATATCTCAAGCACATAAAGCGCATTAAAACCTGCACGGGTTTGGTGACTGCTGAAACTGCTGCAATGACGCTGCTACCGTGGTGTTTATTTGTCGCTCACTCATATGTTCCCCCGACTCCTCCAATAACTGCTGATAAGTTGTACGCAGGTTGCGGAGGAGCGTCGCTCTAGCGCGATGGATTTGATGCAGAACGACCCCGTGTTGATGGAGCGAGGACGGGCCATGCTGGATGCTGGCGCGGCAGAGCAGGCAGCAGCTAAGGTGGCTGCGATCGACGCGGCCAACACTCGTGCACTCCGCGCGTCGTTGCAAGCGCTGAAGCAGCACTGCAACAGCTCGATAGGGTGGACCACTTACCAGACAGCGCTCGCTGTAGCAGCCGGAGCGGGAGAGCACACGTGTACTTACACGGATGTGTGCCACCCCGGCCAGCGGTGCAAGCCCGTTGAGTTTGGTGGAGTGAACCTTGCCGAGCGAGCCAACAGTCTCGGCATTTGGCACGAGACTTTTAGCGACGCACGGCGGCGGATGCACAACACGAACCACGACATCGCCCCCAAGATCGCTGCGAGTGAGGGATGCTACGTGTTCAACGAGCGCAAGACACGGAGTGACGTGACGAATCCCGGGAATAGAGGAGGAGCAGGGGGAGGTGCAGGATACCTATAGTCTTGTGTGGGCTACTAGTGTGGGAGTGCAGACAGACGATTTTGTGGTGGAAGCGGCCGGAGACAAGGTGTTGACGGCTAGGAAGTGGGCGTTCGACCNCGCTGAAGCAGCACTGCAACAGCTCGATAGGGTGGACCACTTACCAGACAACGCTCGCTGTAGCAGCCGGAGCGGGAGAGCACACGTGTACTTACACGGATGTGTGCCACCCCGGCCAGCGGTGCAAGCCCGTTGAGTTTGGTGGAGTGAACCTTGCCGAGCGAGCCAACAGTCTCGGCATTTGGCACGAGACTTTTNAGGAAGCGCAATACGTAAGCTCAAGAGGTCGCGTACGTATCGCGAAGAAGTGGTTCCCGGAGGTGGGCTAGGGATGGATGGATGTTTTGGCTGCCAACCACAAGAATGGAACTCGTCGACGTTTGTTGTCCTTCTTGCTTTTTGNCCTATAGTCTTGTGTGGGCTACTAGTGTGGGAGTGCAGACAGACGATTTTGTGGTGGAAGCGGCCGGAGACAAGGTGTTGACGGCTAGGAAGTGGGCGTTCGACCAGTCCAGGGCGAAGAAATGGGCCGCCCCCAAGAAGTTCACCAGATCTTGGGAGTTGCGGGTTCGGGGCGCATCGTGCTACTGCTCGACTTGCCGAATGGGCTGCTACGATGACTGCATGGTAGCGAAGGTACCTCGGCTTGGTTGGCGAGGTGATGGAGAAGTCGGGAAAAGAGATGGTTCGGAGGAGCACGCTTGGGACTCAATTGACCGGCGTTATTCTTCCGGTCATATCTTCGGACGAGTCCCCAGTGGCGCCTACGCTTGACGAGAGCATGGGGGAGGTGGGTGGGGGAGGGGAGAAGGAAGATGAGGGAGAGGAGGAGGACGATGAGGGGGAGGAGGAGGAGGAGGAGGAGGGGGAGGAGGAGGGGGAGCGGGAGGAAGCGCAATACGTAAGCTCAAGAGGTCGCGTACGTATCGCGAAGAAGTGGTTCCCGGAGGTGGGCTAGGGATGGATGGATGTTTTGGCTGCCAACCACAAGAATGGAACTCGTCGACGTTTGTTGTCCTTCTTGCTTTTTGTGGTGTGGTGTCGAACGCAACGTTTGCAAGTATTGTGCGCTACCCTTTACTCTTGGTAGTAGTAATATGGGCAAATCCCCGTTTTGTCCCCGGGGGGGGACAAAAATTTCGCGTACCCTGGTGGGAAGTGGCCAGTAAAATGTGCAATAACTGTAGGGTTTGTTCTACCGGAACAGTCCGAAAAGCGCATGAAATGGGCCAGATATGGGGAAACCCCCGTTATGTCCCCGGGGGGGAGACGTCAAGTTCGTGTCGGAAGTGGCCAGCAAAGTTTGTAAAAACTGTAGGGTTTGTTCTACCGGAACAGCGGTCTGAAAAGCGCATAATAAGGGCAAGATATGGGGAAATCCCCGTTTTGTCCCCGGGGGGGGGGGACAGAAATTTTGTTTTCCCTGATTTGCGTTTCCCATGCATTGAGTAAGACAAGTCACCAAGTTTCGCTGAAAACCCACCTTCCCGACCCCGGATTGAAAATCTGAGACCGAATATCGCATCTGCACACCGACCGCAACCCACAACTGAATTTTCAGAGCTTAGGTGGTTTGGCAACATTTTCAATCTCAAACCCTCCCCGGCATATACCGGAAGGCGCCCTAGGTGCATCCCGCGCAACAGATGGCGGGCGTGCGACTTTCTATTCGCATATTGCTGCTGTTGATGTTCTTATGCGCTGCTGTTTCAAGCTCACGAGCGTGCCCACTGCCCACTTCCCGTGCGGATCGCAATGCGTGGTGAAGTTATGTAGCCCTTTGGAGTGTATGTATACCCAGATGCACGCTGGGGACACCAGGAGAACGTGGCAGGTTGTTTCACCTCAAATAATCAACGTGGTCAGGGCTGTACTGTAGTGGTGATCGCTGGTCATTCCATTTCCCGCTATCATACCCTTGGATGTGCAATCCGAGCACTGAGCAGCACTCGCCGCGCGGTAGCTACAGTAGTGTGTTGCCCCGGGCTCTCCGAGCTGGGTGCTGCCTCACTCAGACCTTGTGCAATGCGGTCTCCGGTGCTTCCTTCTCAGCCTCAAACTTGTTTTGGCCCCCCTGAAATCGTGGGTTCACGTGCAATGTGCATAGAATATTCGCCAGTAGTCATTCCCCCGAGCCAAGAGGGAAGATGTCAAACCGGAAAGCTGGGGCCGTTGGTTCCTACCCGCGGGTGAGTTTGGGGCCTTGATGTTGAATGAAAGGGGTCGTTTTCAAGGGTTGATGGACAACCTATGTATGATCTTGCTGATTCGTTGGCACGTGAGGACCTCTGGGAGAGTTACCGTCTTTGTATGCGAACATGGTGTACATTATGTACAACAGCACTACAGATAGCGCCCACACTTAAGAACCGCTTATATTGGCCAAGGCTTGATGCGTGTTGGCTGCCTCAAATTGAGCACCGGTTCTTATTTTCAAAAAAGTATTTTGAGCAGGCATATCCGTATGGTACACAGGGTTCTTGTTCATATTTCTACGCCAAGGACCTCATTCAGAAGTCGTTTTTTTTTTCTGGGTGCAGCCTGACACTTGAGAACAGCGTGTTCATATGCATGAAACAGAGTATAATCTTTGAACGTCGCTCAACAGAGACCTCTGGAATCGAGTTAAACACAGACGCGGTATCGCCTGAAACAATGTCGCATCTGAGCAAACACGTTGAACCATTTAGAGTCACTCGCGGCACATTTGTCTTCCCGGCCCTATCTACTAACGCCCGTCTCAGCTGCATTGCGACCTTCACCCTGCTCTTCGAATGTCGAACCTCATCCCTACTCTACGGCGCGCCCCCCTCAAGCAAAGCCCACGACCCTACCACCGCACCCGCATCTCTACTGTGCTTGTCCAACGGTACTGGTCTACATGTAGCTCGAAATGCATACGGTTGTCGCAAAACGTTTCGGGTACGCTCCTGAGATTGCCGAGTAATCAGCCCACCAAATCGACCCATGCTCAGTATTACGAGTACTCCACATACAGGAACAAACTGTCAAGGGCAGCGGGTATAGACGCTTAATTTCGAAAACCGGTGGGTGCGACGAAGGAAGAGGTGTCGGAAAGCTTTCGTCGACCCCGCGTCGGCTCGATGGCCTCCCAGTCTGACTTCGTGGGCAATTGCCAGCAATGACATGTTCGTTCTTTGATGGCCTCCAAGTGTCGATCAAGAATCACACCTCCGCTCAACTTTGACAGCTGGCCGAGCTCTTTCAATATTTCAAGGGGCAAAGACATGGCTCTCGTGCGTGGCACGCAGCGTGGCAGGCACATCAATGACATGCGACGAGGGGTATGCCTTGTACAACGAAGCTAGCACCTCCCCCCCCTCCCCCCACCTCCGCACCGACCAAGGTAAAATGTGAAAGCGGGTCCGAGCGCGAACACCCGCTTCATGTAGTTGCGGAATGCCTGTTGTACAAGGAGACGAGATTTTACGTTGCTGAGCCTCGGGATAAGTTGAAGGAAGATACAGGGAAATGTGTGAGGCATGGAATGCCAGCTAGGAGAGAAGACGGTAGCTGTACTGTACTGGGGCATACAACGTGGAGAGTTGAGGCAGGATGTGATATCGATAGGATATACACCATCTTTGAGACACCTTTATTGGTAAAGTAGGAGGGAACGATTGGCCATCAGTCTTTGGTCCTGTGGGAACGATGCTCCGTCTTCTCGAGGACGCGTGGTCAATGGTCTAACCACTAGGCATGAAAAGCATAAGAGTACGTCCCCCCCTCCGCACCAGTATCAATTGAAACGGAAATCCCCCTCGTCGTCGCTGATCTGAAACTACCGGTGGGTGGGGTCACCGGACACCCCGTGAGTCACCCCTCAACACCTTCATGATGTCTCATCTTGCAGCTGCCACTTTTTCGGGGTCTGTTTTTATCCGTAAGCGCTTGGTGCACCACAAATACGGGTTGTTGTTCTTAATACCACGTCGGACATAAGCAGGTGTTCTTATGGGCAAGTTCTTAAATTTTGAATTTTTCGAGGCTGCATTTCGTAACTGCTAAGTTCTTAAGTGCGAGCGTCATCTGCATCTGGGCAATGCGCGCACGCTTGGTGTTGGTGCTGACCGATATGCCAGCTTGTTGAAGCTGGTGTCGTTGTCATCGCTGATGTAGTATATTTCGAAGTACCGCAGTAGGTCTTCGCTTGTGCTCCAGTCGTGTTCTTGCTCTCCTCGAGATATGCTAGATACACATGAGCTTGGCACAGTAGTCATCACAAAAGTTCATACCTCGGACCGGAGATGGATAATGAAGCCCACCCCCGCGCGTGGTTTATCATAACAAGACATCCATATTTGACGCGTTTTTTCTCGATTTCCGCAAAAGACGAGAGTGATCACGATTTCCAAGGTTTCGCTCAAAACTCCAGGAACAGGAGTTCACTCCAGCAAGCTGGCACGAGTCTTTTTCGGCATGTAGCGCCGAGAATTGCGTTTGTGGTTTTATTATTAGCATCGACCGCACTAACTGACTGACCAATGAAAGGACGTCAGTCTCAGTGCGGTCGAAGACACAAAAGCCTCCCCGTGAGGGGGCAGCATCGGGGAGGCTAAACTGTCCATGGACCTCCAAGGACGTCCACGGACGTCCACGGACTAGATGCTTTACTGCAATATTTCTGCAGCAATCTCCGAAAATCCTAATTGAATGTAGGTAGGTGATTAATAGATACTATATCCTCTTCCGTCGTGGAATGGCAAGCAACTTTCTTAGAATGTTCACGATGCAGGGGTGTACTATCTTGGTCACCTCCATTTGCCTAGCGGGCACAACAGTCTATTGTCCATTGTACAACAGAGGCGACCCAACATTTTGAAGTCCACGTTTTTTTTTGTTCACACACAACCCTCATCATGATCAATCGAGGAATAGACCTACGCCACGCTTATCCAACGTCAGACGCTCGGGAGACCCTCTCGGTACTCTACAGTGACTCAGTAGCCATTCGACGCTCTGTGTCTTAAGGTGCTGTACCATGACGCACCATGAGAATATTCTAATGGTTCCCTAGACCCAATGAGGTACCATGAGAAATCTCATGACGTGACCTAAGGTGCGACCAACAAAACAATTGCCGACGCCTAACCCCACTTCTTTATTTTGGACCTCTCCGGGGGGGGCGGGGGAGCCCCCCCCTGTGGCTTGTGCCGAGCGAGAAAAACAGAATCTAACCAAAGAAACCAAGTAAAAGGAGGTTCTAGAATCGTACGAAATGTTGAACGAAGGAATAGGGCTCAAGGAGTACCTACATGGAGCAATGGATGGCGGGATAGAGCTTAAGGTCTAAATCAGAACCGAAGACATTGGCCTTCGAGAACGCAGACGAAAATTTAGGGAGGTAGACGATGAAGACGAAAAGTTCAAATGTGATTGAGGCTCCGAGTGCGAAGACCTAGTTCATGTAGTTGCGGAATTCTCGTTGAACAAGGAGAGGGAAGTGGGCATGACTGAGCTGCCAAAAGTAGATGGGAGATACAGGGGGATGATTGTGGCATGGAAAGCCAGGATAATACGGTATAGCTGTTCTGGGGCGTAGGAGGTGGGTTGAAAAGGCGGGAAGTGACATCGATAGGATTGTAGATGGATTAGGGAAGACGTTTTTTGAGCCACCTTTGGCAAAATGGGAAGAAACGATCGGCCATCGGTGATCGATCCTGTGGGAACACAGTACTCCGTCCTCTCGAGGACGCGTGGTCAATGGTCTAACCGCTAGAAGTTGCAGAACATAAGAGTACGCCCTCCCCCCCTCCAACGCCATACAATTTCCTCTACAAGTCGAGTCCATGCAAAACAATCCTATTTAAAGCGGACACACTTCATGCACGGGGGTAATACAATCCACGTGGCGAGCTTGCCTGTACCGCAGCCGACGGCACCATAGCAGAGGTTGGAGCGGGGTTAGGGTTAGGGGGTGGAGGGAGGATGAAGGCGCTCGAGGCGAAAGCGCTCGAAGAAGCGGCTGTTTAGTCTTGTTAAGGGAGGTGGGGCTTGGGGGATAATAAGTACAACGCACGGCAAATTGCAATTGTGTACGGGTGTTGCACGTGGCGAAGGTAAAGTCACCACCGTAGGCTCATCGCCGGCCCCTTTCAGGTATTTCCCGGCTTGAGTAAGCTTGGATTGGTGATGCTCCACGCATGGTTTTAATGTGTTTATTGGTTCTGGTGTGTCGTTTGTTGGTGTTATTTCGCCATGTTCGCCCGAGGTCAAATGGTCGTGGTGGACTTGTCGCAGAAGCTTTGAGAGGTTCTGAGCTTTGCAGCTTGGGGGGTTGTCCCAAGTATAACTGTAGATTTCAAGATCCAATTACGAATGTCTTCAGCCCATCACAGCTATTCTACGAAGTAGCAATCTACTTCTTCCGGTGCGGGATGTACACAATATTTTTTCAAATTTATCAAACAACTCTTCTAACAGGGTCCTTTGTGGACGTGCCGTTAACACCAGCAAACGCAAGCACACGCAATTGAGGGGGAGGAAAGCAAGAAATCCTGCACGTTATGTACCACGGAAAAAAGAAACTCTCTTCGCTGCCCTCAACCTCCCACAGTACTGACAGTATTGCTAAATCGCCCATGGGACACTCATGGGTCACCCATGGGCCGCCCATGGGCCGCCCATCGGTTCTTCATGGGCTCTTCGTGGGCTCTTTATGGGCTCTTCATGGGCTCTTCATGGGCTCTTCATGGGCTGCCCATGGGTGACCCATGGGCATGCCAATGAAGAGCCCATGGGCGGCCCATGAAGTTCCCACCTTGGGCACTTCAACCTAGAACTTCGCCACCGGCCAATAAACCTAGAACCTTGCCACCTTCACATCAACCTAGAACTTAACCACCAGTGCCAACCTAGCACGTATCGTGTGGGCTTGGGGTTAGGATGAGGGTTAGCGGTAGGGTTATTGGCCGCAATAGTGCCTATATAATCTATTGTTTAGGAGTACACTGGTCCGATCGAAGGGCTCTCAGTAGTCGCCCTTGGGCTTCCCATGGGTCGCCCGTGGACATGTCCATGCCAATGGGAATGGGCATGGGCGTGCCCATGAGCGACCAATGGGTGACCCATGAGAATTTCATGGGTTTGCGGAGAACTGTAAAAAGTGTGGGAGACCCACACCGCATGACCACGGACTGCTTGTCCCCCACCTCTGATACCTGGCGTTAGGAAACCCACGGGCAGCAAAACAAAGAAGGCGCCCTACACTATGACGTGCAATATCTCTGTATTCTGCTGAGCACGGCTCAACCACATATGGCAACTATAGGTGACGAGGGCCTGGGAACGACGGAGTGGTCATATGGGTGCCATTCCACCGCCGGCAATAGTATGTTTTTCTCTACTCGGCATGAAGGGTGACGAAAAAGGGGTATCGTCAATAAGAAAACGATACTTATGTTGTTGCAAGAGATGCTGACCCCCCCCCAACTCTTCGATACCGGAATAGAAACAAGCAAAATATTGAAAACTCCTGTTGAAGGGATAGGATACGTTGGAAACGTTTGGTATGTTACAGTACACGTTGAAGATGGATACGGCAAGGGTGAATCAGCGTACGGTGACTGTGCGCATCGTGGTGAGCGCATACCAATAGAGCCGGAAAACGTAGTTATCGGAGTTTTCTCTCCTCTCAAGAGCCCCCCCCGCCCCCCTCCCCCATCACCTATTCGGGCTGGAGGCGTGAAATCCGAGTTTCCCTGCAGGAGCAGATCGTATTATCTCCCCCCTTTCTCGATTCCCGCCCGGGGTGAGGTTGGTGTCAGAAAATAGAACCCACCTCCCGGCGGTGGAAAACCTCGAACGACAACGGTGTTCAACCCACCGCAAGGTCATTGAATACCAACGACAACTGCGCGATCGTTGGAGACTGAATTTATCAATCTGAGCCGCGTGCACTTGAAAATCAACCGGGCCCCACAAGTTGTAGGTAACCTCTCTGTAGCGCCACGACTATGCATGATATCCTTCATTCGTCCCAACGTCAACTTCACCCTCCCCCGTCTTACCCACAAGCAGCATGGTTTTTCCCGCCGTACTATACACACACAGGTAATGGCTGATCAATAGTCTAGTGCCTTCGCGTTCGTCTGCCCAGTGATACATGTAAACTTCTTTTTGCACGAATGCACTTATTGATAGCACAGCTTCAGGTACGACTATGTTGTGGTGGGCGTGGTACCTCTAAACGAACGTTCGCACGTTCCCGCCTGTCTTAGGTCAGCCGGCTGTGAAGGCATTTGAGAAAAAAATTCCACACAGCGATGGGCACGAGGAGAGATTTTGATGGTTCGCAAAAACGGTAGATAATGTTTCGGCGAGCACTCAAAAGCTCTGCAAGACTCCCGCAACGAGGAGCACACACATGGAAGTAGGTAATTGGCTTCGATCGGGATGACGGTAAAGACTAACAATATCACCGTACTTAGTCTATCAATTTGGCTGACGAGCCCGAGTCGAGATAGAAGAAAACAAGCGATCCACAGCGGCACGGGAACACCTGCTCGTCGGCGTCATACATCTCCTAGCCTGAACGAAAAGGAACATGTGTCGACTCGGATATTCAAATATTCTACAAGGTACGGCTGGGAACTAGGAAGGTACGAAGGTTTGAGACGCACATCGTCGTGCAGCTAGATGCCACACTCACACGGGTCATTTGTGATTTTTCGTTCACCAGGTAACTTCCATGAGCAAGCGGTGACATGTGCATAAGCAAAGTACCATGGGCACTTCCACTTACGGTTTCTTTTACGTCCCTGGCAAGACCCCAAGAGAATGGGGTTGCCCAAGGAATGCCGGTATCCCTCCCCCCCCCCGCGAAAACGTCCCAAACAAGAAAGGGGGTCTACATTCAGTGCAAGAATATTATTTTCGCGCGCCCCTGTGTCAGCGACTCCCAGCGCCCCCGGTGTTTGCCATCGGGGTTGGGTTTTCGTCGCTTGGCAACGAGATTGTAAAACAAGCCGCCCCGCCGG